CCCCCTCCTGCGTTGCCGGGTGGGCGTCGTCGCAGGTGTCGCAGCCTTGTCGCGGGCGGCCCTCCGCTCCCGGCCCCTAGGCCCGCCCCGTCTGCCTGCGCGCCCACGTCTACTGCGCCCTTCCTCTGGCCCCTGCTTCCTCTGCTGTCGAGTCTTCCCTCTGTCCGTTGCGCCGGCTTCGTCCCACTGGCCTTGGCCTCCCGCCTGTGCGATCGCTGTCGCTTGCTTTCTTCTCGTTCTCGTCTCTCTCTCTCTCTCTCTCTTTCTTTCTTGTTCTTTTATTTCTCTCTCTCTCTCTCTCCCTCCCGCGTCGGCCAGCACTGGCTGCCGGGAGGCAGCGCGCGGCGTGGGGCGCGGCCAGATCCTCCCAGGGGCATCAATCAAGGCGTCGGATTGAAAGACGAGTCGCCGGGAAGGGGTCGGGAGCTCCAGGGGTTTTGCGACTTGGACAAAGATGGAGCCGTCGGAAGTGTTAGGTGCGGCAACGCCAATGCGCTGCATGGCTGGGAGGTGGCAGTCCCCCAATCGTGTCTGCTTTGCCCCGATGGAGGCCGTGCGCCAGGCGGGATGACTATGCAGAGGGGAGTGCGGGGCCTGCGGTGGGTACTGAGGCGTACAGTTTTCCAGGCACGCCTCCCAGCGCACAGATCACGGGTCGTAACAGTCCTTCCCGAGGGCCACTCGCGTGTGGCCGATCTTCCAACACCCTCTTCTCTTTGCCTCCCCTACCTGCCCCCCTCTTTCTCATCCGTCTTCTCTCCCCCTCCTCTCCTCTCCCCTGTCCTTCTTTCTTCATCTCTGAAGGGGCCCAGAGACACACACACACACACACACATAAATACACATATCCAAGGATTCCCCATATTTTCTCATGCTTTTCTGTGTCTTCGCCTTCCCCTCACTTCCCATAGTTTCTCCCATATTTTCTTGGGAATCGACGATTCATTGTGTCTGTGTGCTTTTCCCCCTCCATAATCCCTCCCTCCGCAGACCTCCGCCGCTCCCCCAGCCAGGCGGGCACCGCCCTCAGACGAGCCGGGGAGATCATGGACCGCAACCTCAGGAGTGGCGGGTGGCGGCCGATCCATGCAGCCTGCCCCCCTCCTCGTTCCTCCTCCCTCGTTCCTCCTCCTCCTCCTCCTCCTCCCTCCTCCTCCTCCTCCTCTCCCCCTCCTCCCCCTTCTCCTCCTCCTCCCCCTCCTCCTCCTCCTCTTTTCCTCCTCCTCTCCTCCTCCTCCTCCTCCTCCTCCTCCTTCGCCTCGCTCTCGTCCTGGTCTTAAGTCGGGCACGTCCCTCTACAGGAGGAATATAGAAAGATGGTCAAGAAATAGTCTGGGGACGAATTTCGGACAATTTCTGATGACCATTTTAGGGTATTTTTCGACTATGTTTTTAGTTTTCGTCCAACATCCGCCGGCAGGGGGACAGGCCCGACCTAGTCCTGGTCCTCTTCGTCTTCGTTGTCCTCCGCTGCCCGCCGCCTTGCTGTCGTCGCCGTCCTTCCCCTCTTCCCCCCAAGGGAGGAAACGCCACCTGGACTGGACAGTTGGCGTTCACTAAACGGCCCTGGGCGTTTACGAAACAGCCCTGCCCTGTTCGATTCCTTCTTTGGGTGCGTTTCCTAAGCGGCCTCGCTTGTCGTGGTGGTTACGATGGGGGTGGATTCACTTGCCGAACTTGAAGTTGTCAACTCCACTGCTCGCGCAATCATCCCACCCACCCACCCGCAACTTGATTTGCAAAATCTCTTAAGACCGTGACGGTGGGTATCAGATGGCACTTGGCAACGACAGCGACGCCGACGACGACAGCGACAACGACGACGACGCACTTGGCAACGACAGCGACGCCGACGACGACAGCGACAACGACGACGACGACGCCGCCGACGACGACTACGACGACACCGACGACGTCTCCAACGACTTCGACGACGCCGACAACGACGACGACGACGACACCGACGACGACGACCACGACGCCGACGCCGACGACGACGACGATGACAACGACGACGATGACGACGCCGACGAAGACGACAACGACGACACCGACGACGACGACGACGTCAACGACGCCGACGACGACGACGACGACGGCGGCGACGACGACGACGACGCCGACGTCGACGACGACGACGACGACGCCGACGACGACGACGACGACGAAGACGACGACGACGTCGCCAACGAAGACAACGACGAGGGAGGAGGGAGGACGACGACGCCGACAACGACGACAACGACGACAACGACGAGGGAGGAGGGAGGACGGCGACGACGCGAATGACGAGGAATGAGGAATGACGGCGACGCCGACGACGACAACGACGAGGTAGGAGGGGAGACGACGACGACCACGAGGAAAGACAGAGGACGACGTAGGCGACGACGACGACGACGCGGGAGGAGGGAGGACGACGACGACGACGACGACGACGACGCAAGAGCGCGCGCGCACGCTTTTGTTGAAAATCCGTGTGTCGAAACCTTGTGTGTTTGAAGGTTTTTTGGACAGACGGTGTTGACATCCTTCCGAAGCCGATGGGTTTTGAAGGATTTCGGCATACGCGCGCGACGACGCGCGCGTCTGTACTTCGTCCCATTTTTTGCAGAGGATTCTCGCGACGGCACACGCGCAAGGGCGTTCGACAGATTTCGACATGCGCGCGCGCGAAGCCCGTTTGGTTGCATTTTGTGAAAATCTTGAAAAACCTAAGGTTGTCGTAATTTCGCAAGAGCTCGCGCGTAAGCTTTTTCCCAACCCTCCTGCGTTGGGTTCTCGTTTTGAATAGAGCACTGCTCGCGCGAATCCCGCCCCCCTCTTCCCCCCTGCCTTTTACCTGGCTCGTCGCTGCGTTTCGAGGGCAGCTGGGGGCTGCAATCTGTGAAACTGTCGCCACTTTCGAGGGCTGCTGGGGGGGCCAGCACAGTCTGCACCCGCGGCGGACTCAAATGTGACCTCGCCATCCCTGGGGGGCTGCGATCTGCGAAACTGTCGCCACTTTCGAGGGCTGCTGGGGGGCCCAGCACAGTCTGCACCCGCGGCGGACTCAAATGGGACCTCGCCATCCCTGGGGGGCTGCGATCTGCGAAACTGTCGCCACTTTCGAGGGCTGCTGGGGGGCCCAGCAGAGTCTGCACCCGCGGCGGACTCAAATGGGACCTCGCCATCCCTGGGGGGCTGCGATCTGTGAAACTGTCGCCACTTTCGAGGCTGCTGGGGGGCCCAGCACAGTGCACCCGCGGCGGATTCAGATTAGACCTCGCCATCCCTGGGGGGCTGCGATCTGCGAAACTGTCGCCACTTTCGAGGGCTGCTGGGGGGCCCAGCACAGTGGGTACCCACGGCGGACTCAAATGGGACCTCGCCATCCCAGCACAGTCTGCACCCACGGCGGACTCAAATGGGACTCGCCATCCCTGGGGGGCTGCGATCTGTGAAACTGTCGCCACTTTCGAGGCCTGCTGGGGGGCCCAGCACAGTGGGTACCCACGGCGGACTCAAATGGGACCTCGCCATCCCTGGGGGGCTGCGATCTGTGAAACTGTCGCCACTTTCGAGGCCTGCTGGGGGGCCCAGCACAGTGGGTACCCACGGCGGACTCAAATGGGACCTCGCCGTCCTTGGGGGGCTGCGATCTGTGAAACTGTCGCCACATTCGAGGCCTGTTGGGGGCCCAGCACAGTGGGTACCCACGGCGGATTCAAGTTAGACCTCGCCATCCCTGGGGGGCTGCGACTTGTGAAACTGTCGCCACTTTCGCGGCCTGCTGGGGGGCCCAGCACAGTGACGCCACACGCATATTCAAATTAGACCTGGCCATCCCTGGGGGGTTACGATCTGTGAAACTGTCGCCACTTTCGAGGCCTGCTTGCGGGGCCCAGCACAGTGACGCCTCCCAAGTAGCTTACACATCAAGTTGATTGTCCATACAAGTTTCGGCCAACTCATGGTTTCCGCTGATACAAATGGGTTGGGTACGCCACAGGGTAATTTAGCAAATCCGTGTTGCGGAATTCTGTGTTTTTGTATGTTTTTTTGGAAACTCGATTGCGTAATCCTTCTGACGCCCAAGGTTTTTGGAGGATTTCGGCATGCGCGCGCGACGGCGCGCGCGTGTGCACTTCGTCCCCTTTCTTTGCAAGGGATTCGTGAGCAAGTGTTATGTTAGAACAAAAGATGTCCCCGCGAACCTCAGGGGGGTCGATATCTGCCCCCCAGGGATAGGTGTACATTCATATTTCGGATGGACATGGACATGTGGTCATAATCATATATGATTTACATACCCGAAAGGGGGGCCGATAATGCTGGGGGGGGAGGGGTAGAGTCTGTTTTTTTAGCAAGGAGAATAGACCTCCTACCCTGACACGTCGATTAAGGAATTGGCAGTTTTCGGTTCGCGAGAGGGCGTCGCGGCCGTCATGTTTGCGGGCCCAGGTCCGTCGGTTTCGGCCCCAGGCCGTTTTCACAAAGGGGAGGTTTACCAAAGGCAGGTTTGTCCACCGCCGACTTCTGGGGGTGGATGTTTTGCCCTCTATCCTCCCCTTCCCCCCTCCGCGAGCGCAGCCGTACTCTGCCCGCGCTCCCGCTCTTGGTGGCGTGCAGGGCGCGCGCTCGGAAGCAGAGCGGCGCGCCCGCTCGCTCGCACCGCCCCCGCCCCTGTCCTCGAGGCCTCCTCGCGATCGGGAGGGGGAGAGGAGGCAGCACCTCCAGGTATCCGCATGTGGAGGGTTTCTCCGAAGGGCTTAGGCGACCCCTCCTCCTCTTTCCTCCTCCTCCTCCTCCTCCTCCCTCTCCTCCTCCTCCTCCTCCTCCTCCTCGTCCTGCTGCTCCTCCTCCTCCTCCTCCTCCTCCTCCTCCTCCTCCTCCTCCCTCTCCCCCTCACCCTCCTCCCCTTCTTCCCCCTCTTCCTCTTCTTCTCCTCCTCCTCCTCCTCCTCCTCCTCCTCCTCCTCCTCCTCCTCCTCTCCGAGATCCCTGCAGTCGCGGTTCGGTGCTCGCCAGCAACGTCTCGCCGGCGAGCGACATGGCGTAGTCATAGCAGGAGGCGGAGTCGGTTGAGGTGTCTCAGGAGGGGAGAAACACGCAGACACAGTGAATTCGCTGACCCCCAGGAAAAGATGGGGAGTGGGGGGGGGGGAAGACGAGCATCGAGAACATGTGAGAAGACATGGGGAATCCTGGGATCGGGTGTGCATTTGTTGGAGTGTCCCTGGGGGCCCCTGCAGTGTCCCCTCCCCAGCGGTGCGGGGCGGCCTGCCCATGTCGCGGACGGGGCACGCCGGCAGCCTGCCAGAAGGGCTTGCCGGGCGCTCCCTGCCACGCGGTGCTCTCCTCGACCTCCCGGCCGGGCATCAGTCATCGCTTGACCGACCTCCACCCCCAGCATCCCCTTCGAGACCCCCACCAAGTCACCGCCCCAGTAGGGGACACACTCTTCGAAACCCGAAGGGAACGGCCTATATCCCCATCTAGGGGGGGGAATCGGCCAGTGGGGCCCAGGCCACGCCGCTGGGGATGGGGATCGTTTAAACGAAACTCAAGGCACTCCAGCCGAGAGCACGATGTCCTTCAATTGAAGTTCATGGCAGGCGAGGGGGTACTGGCCCATCTGAGCGGCCGTGACGTTCCAACAGAGTCCCGTGCAGTCTGATGACGCCAGCAGTCTCCGCTCATGGGAGGAGTCGACCAGCCCTTCCCGCGGACCATGCCAGATGTGGGCCGCATCCCTGGAGCGACCAAAGCAGCCAGAGTCGCGCCCCTTCGAGCCGGCGCGACAGTCTGACCGAGTCCCCTCCCGCGTTCCTTCCACGCGGGCTGTTCCCGAGAGAGGTCAGGTGAGTATTCTGTCTGGGGAACGCCTTCTTCATGGCTGGCCGTGTGGCAGCGGGGCGTCTGCGGTGGAGGCCGTTGGGCCAGCGATCCGAGGCACCGTCAAAGGAGGCCTTCCTCCGAGGCAACTTTCAAGGAGGGAAAAAAACACACAGACACAATTAATCGTCGATCCCCCAGAAAATATGGGAAAATATGGGAAGTGGTGGGGAAGACAAAAACCCAGAAAATATGGGGAAATATGGGGAATCTTTTTATTTGTGTGTATTTGCTTGTGTGTCCCAGGGCCCCTTCAAACTTGTTTTATGCTCCCACGTATGGATGGGTGGGGGAAATGTTTCGTCGTGGGGCTCGGGCAGCGGGGACCTGCCGGGGCTGCACCAGGGTCTCACAGAGCTTCTGTTCAGAAGTTCCTTCTCAGCTACTCGAGGGCCTTACATGGAGCAGGATTTTGTCATGCGTGGGATGTAGTGCTATACGTGAGTGCAACTGACCACAACAGAGGGAGCAGTTTGTCCTGATGACTAGAAGGGTTCATCAGAGTATGCCTGTTTCATTCGTGTGCGGGCGGGGGAGGAAAACCTTGAAGTCCATTCACAAGCAGTTCTCCCAGCAGGGCAAGGCTCACCTTGAGTGCATTGCCTGATCTTCCTCGCAAGTTTCAGAGCATCGCGTGGTGTCTCATCTGGGAGGATGACCATGCTAGCTTTGTGCAAGTCGATTAATGGAGAGAAAGCAAGCTGCCAACTCATTTCCAGATGTTTAAAAGATGTTTCAAACATGTCTAAATATGTAAACACATGTTTGAAACATTTTTATAACATGTTCTGCACACTTTAAACATATCTTGAATTCAATGATGGGATTGTTAGAGTGTCCATTGTCATGGCATCCACAATGCTAGCTCATCAGTCTCCAATGTTCCCGCCTCCGTTTCGTTCCTCCAGTGCACGTGTCGTCACCGCGAGCAGCCTGCGTGTGCTTTGTGCGAGGGGATCCTTCGAGGACCTCGTTGTCTGAGGCAGGCGAGGAAACTCAGTCAGGGCTGGACCTAAACGGTGTTTTTGCTGATTTCGTGGGCCGTTTTCGTTTCTACCTCGTTTTGCGAGGGACAACGAAAACAACACGAAAACGAAAAACACCGTTTAGGTTCAGCCCTGAATTCAGTGGCCTTCGAGGATCAGGGTCTCCTGCAGGGCCACCGGTGTGGAAACCGTTCTCGATTGTTGGGGTGACTCTACAGTACATTTGGCCTCATGAGATCAATGAACAGGAGTGGTCCCATGCGGAAGAGAGAAGTGGGAGGGGGGGGCACGGATGGGGGAGCGGGACTATGCGAGGACGATGGCTGGGAGAAGTAGTAGATGATGACGAGGATGAGAGTGAGGGTGAGGAAGGGCTCGAGGATGAAGACGTGGACGAGGCTCCACATAGTGCTCGCGCACCTGGTTCTTGCGTTAGTCTGCTGAATGCGGCAAACCTCGCCACCGTACCAACGCAGCAGCGCAGCAGGAAAGATGGCGAATGTACGGTCCGCTTCAGTTCAGTGCTTTGTTTGAACTGGTGCGGGTCTGAAGCGCCACTTCTTTGTCCACAGCATCGTTGTCTTGTTCCTCCTTCCTTCTTTCTCCTTTTTCTCCTCCTCCTCCTCCTCCTTTCCCCCTCCTCCTCCTTCTCTCTCCTCCCTTTTGTGGAGATCTCTTGGGGGCCTCTTGGGGGCCACTTTGTGCCCTCTTGGGGGGTCCGTTCGGACGCTTTGGGAGCCCGTCGGGGGTCCTGGGGCCGTCGTGGGCGCGGTAATTTCGCAGAGCTCTCGCGAACAATTCGGTTGCATCATCTTGGGGACGACGTCTGCGTGGGTCTTGCGGCCGTCTTGGACTTGGGCCGTCTTTCGGGGTTCTCGGGCAGCATAGGCGCTGTGTTCTGGCGCTCTTGGGGCAGTTTTGGGCCGCCTTGGGTCTCCCTGAAGCTCTCCGAAGCTTTTCCGAGGCGGTCAAAAGCAAATACAATTCGGAAGTACCACGCAATGCTTGGTTTTGTTTTCCCTCTGTTTCGTCGCCTCTGAGAGACTCTCTGGAGGTCTCGTTGGGGAGTCTCTTGAAGGCTTCTCGGGCCCTCTTGGGAAGCTGAGGGAAGATCTGGATCATGTGAGAGAGATCCTTCGGACGTCGTCTTGTGGACTTGGGGCGTGGAGCCGTCTACGAGGCCGCATGGGACGCTGTGGGTCAAATCCAGGCGGGGCGGCGATGTTCAGAGCTGGGATGCTGGCTGTGGGGGAGGGGTCGGCCCTAGTAGCAGTGCAGAAGCCCTACCATACAATTGACGGGCATCCTACAGCGCCCCAACGTGCCTGCGGCACGTTGGCGGAAGCAGCCGTGTCCCGAAGCGTTGCGCTCGGCACCGCCTTGATCGGGTCCGTTCGTGCCTTCGGGCTGGGTCCGCAGCCCTTTTGGGAGCCTGGCAGGCATCTCCGTTCCTAGCTCGGTGCCTGAGTCGCGCGTCGGCTTCACAGCTCCGTCTTGTGACAAGCCATCCAGCGCTTGCCGCGCGAATGCTCCTACTCTTGGCCCCAAGCCCTAGGCTCCCTGCCCCCAGCCTGCGTAGCTTTTTATTTTATTTCTTCTCTCTCTCTCTCTAAAGTGCAAGGGTAACCCGTGAGAAGTTGTACCGATGACACTGCTCCATCCTGACGACCCTCTCATTTTGGAAAAGGGCCACAGCCACGTCGCGAGCAGTAGACCCCCCTGGCACTGTCACTGGTACTCCGTCGGCTCTGGTCTTGGTGCCACCTCCGAGAGTTGCGTGCGCTGCAAGCGCTGTGGCAGCTCCAAACCAGCCCGTGCTTTGAGCCTGGCATTCGCCCTGCGCGAGGATTCTTCTCCACACAGTGCTCGCACTACGCAAGGACCTCCCACTTCTCTCCCCGAGTACGTGGCTTCGTTGGCCAGGCTTTCACCCTGTGCTGCCCGCCACCGCCTCGTCGCCGCCTCGTGCTGTGGCTGGCTTTGCCGGGGCTCCGGCCTGTGGGCGCCCGTCGCCGCCACGTCGCCACCTCGCGTGCTCGCCGGATTTACATCCCGGGGCTGCTCTGAGCGGGTCCCGGCTCCCCCTGGTCTCCCTCCTGGGCCGGCGCCTTGCCCTTCTCCTCCTGGTCCTCCCACAGGCGGATTATGCACGAAAAATAGAAACAGTCAAACAGCTCAACAAATGGTAAAACATCGTAGCAAAATCGTCCCCGGTGCCCTCCCCAGAATGCGGCTGGCTGAACTCGCCTGACGCACCCCGCTTTGCTCAGCTCGCCAGCGCAGTCCCTCTGCCTGGCCGCCGACGCAAGACGTGTGCGCCGGGTCTCCCAGGGTTCCGCCCGGTGCCCGCTCGTTGCCGCCTCCGTGCGGCCCCGTCTGGGCTGGTCTTAGTGGTATCGAAGGTATCGTCTTGCCTGCCTGCACGGTTCGTCGTCGTCGTCGTCGCCACTCCTCGCACGCTTCGTCGTGGCCCCGTAGCCTGAACCGTGGTTGCGCGCGTATACCGCCACGCCCATGTCGGCACACCCCTCACACGTCATCATGTATCCTTTTCAACGCAACGTTGCTCATCAACTTGTGCATTATCTTATCAGATTTTTTATCATCATCAAGCGCTGCGCAAGTTAACGATTTCATCCACCTCGCCATCGCCAGCGACAGCGAGCACGCGTGTGCAACTACGCAGACGTTGTTGCCACGTCATACGCGCACATTGCAACATGATCGTCCCACGAACCCGGAAAAGGAATATAGAAATGTAAGGCATTGCAACATTTCAAAGACACCGGATTGGGCGACGGCACATGCAATGCTGAGTGCATCGATGATGATGATGATGATGATGATGATGATGATGATGATGATGATGATGATGATGATGATGATGATGATGATGATGATGATGATGATGATGATGATGATGATGATGATGATGTGCTGTGCCGAGGGCTGTGCTGTGCTACGCCGTGCTGAACTGCGATGTGCCATGCCGCGAGTGTGCTCTATATAGCGTTGTGGATCGAGTCCTCCCTGGCATTCGGGTCCTCACCGAACTGATCTGGAGCGTAAGCTCGAGCTGCCTCAGCACATAGTAGCTGCCCCAGAACCAATCGACAGAGGGAACATGCCAGGAGGACGCGCCGCGGAACGTCCCAAGGGACGCGCCAGGCGACGTGCCAGGGGACGTGCCATGGGGACGCACCGCGGGACGTGCCAAGGGGACGCGCTACGGAACGTGCCAATGGACGTGCCGAGGGACGTGCCAGGGGACGCGCCGCGCAACGTGCCAGGTGGACTCGCCACGGAACGCGCCAAGGAACGTGCCAAGGTGCATAGTTGAGTGTATCGATCTTGATGTACCGTGCCGACGGCTGTGCTGTGCTGGGCCGTGCTGAACTGCGATGTGCCATGCCGCGATTGTGCTCTATATAGCGTTGTGGATCGAGTCCTCCCTGGCATTCGGGTCCTCACCGAACTGATCTGGATCGTAAGCTCGAGCTGCCTGAGCAGATGGTAGCTGCCCCAGAACCAATCGACAGAGGGAACATGCCAGGAGGACGCGCCGCGGAACGTCCCAAGGGACGCGCCAGGCGACGTGACAGGGGACGTGCCATGGGCACGCACCGCGGGACGTGCCAAGGGGACGCGCTACGGAACGTGCCAATGGACGTGCACCGCGCGACGTGCCAGGGGGACTCGCCACGGGACGCTCCGCGGAACGTGCCAGGCAACATGCCAGGCTGCAATGCTAAGGGTATCGATGTTGATGTACCGTACCGAGGGCTGTGCTGTGCCTGGGCGACCTGGACATGTGAAAACACGCGTTTCGCTCAAGACGTTGTCAGCACATCCTCATGCTAGACATCAGCCTGGGCAACCTGGACACGTGCAAACAAGCGTCTCGCTCGAGACATCCTCAACAAATGCTCATGCTAGACATCCGCCTGGGCGACCTGGACACGTGAAAATAAGCCTCTGGTTCGAGACATCCTCAACAAATCCTCATGCTAGACATCTGTCTGGGCCACCTGGAGGCGTGAAACCAAGCGTCTCGCTCGAGACATCCTCAAGACCTGGGCACGTGAAAACAAGCAATCCACTTGAGAGATCCTCAGAATTCAGGTCCCCAGGAGAGGACAATCTACAACACAAAACAAGCGTTTCGCTCGAGACATCCTCAATAAATTCTGAAAAACAAACGTTTCGCTAGGGACATCCTCGAATTTTAATTCGCCGGCCCTCTTCCCACTCGTTATTTATCGCAAAAGAAATTCGCTGGCCCTCTTCCCGTCAAACCCGGGGGGAAACCATCTAAAAGAGAACCCTGGGCTCAAGCCCTTTCCGGGAAAAAAAACGCGTAGGCATGCGCGGCCTCTCCCGACACGGCACGCACCATCATCATTACCATTGGGGTTTTACCCATGGGGTTTAAGTGAAACATAGGGGCCTTAAGTGAAACAAAATGAAACAAGGGGGACGTGGTTCCACCACGTTTATATGTGGATTGCAGGGGGAACGTGGTTCCACCACGTTTTTATGTGGATCGCAGGGGGTACGATCGCGTCGTGGTCGTGGTCGTCGTCGTCGTCCTTGACGTCG